CTGACGTTACTAGAAAAATACGGACACTTGAGCTCTGTCAAAACGAAAATGATTCTACAGCACTGCATTCCTCCTGGGCGGCCGGCAGTGTGTGGTACCAGGGAGAGCTAGTAGACAGAAGGTTAAAAAAAATGTGTCGCTGTCAGATGAGGACCACCATGGGGCCGGGTATGCAGTAGTTGGATCTTGGAACGTGCCATGACCAATTGGCCGTGCCATGCATTCCCTCCCTCAAAGATTCACAGAACACGTGGGCACGCCATGGCCAGGCAGAAATCAATGTGAGACAGAGTTCACGCTCTCCGTACTCGCTTATGGCGTGCGATGGAATGCAAACAAGACGCAACGGCCACCGTACGTGTGTTGAGTGTTGGCTGTCGCGTGCGCATGGAGTAACCTGCCGCGGGTGAATCCTCAGCTAGTAGCGACGGATGGGGTTAATAAAATTTACCGCCTGTGTTTTGTATGCATGCATGCAGGACGGCGTGCAGGTACGGGGGCAAGAACATCGCCTTCCACGTGAACGAGGGCTCCACTAGCTTCTGGCTCTCCCTCCTGGTGGAGTTCGAGGACGGCGACGGCGACATCGGATCCATGCAGCTCAAACAGGTAAATAACACTAACACATCGATGCAAAGCTTGCCTTTCTTCGCAGTTCACACCACATCCATAAAACATACGGCTCCACTCGACCACGGCACCATGGATGCGTGCGTACGTGAAGTATATGATCATTGCGGTGCAGACGTGCAGTGCAACAAGGGCATTTTCCTCAGTGATATGTGGGAAGGTGTTGGCGTTTCTTTCCATAGGGACAGACATGCGGGTGTTTGTGGGGCAGTGCTAGTGCTGCAGCATGCCAGCAGTGGGTGGGATCCGGCTTGCTTTTTCACATGCGGCGGCTAGGGACATGGGCGATGGTTTTCTGGACGCATGGGCCGCAACTAGGCTTTTGTCTGCTCCCCTTTTGTGTCCCGTCGCGTCCATCGGCCATTTCTGGTGGGAATGTGTCATCTAGGGTTCTAGAATCACATGCATGTATGTCCTCTCTCAGTCACAAAACAACACCACGGCTAGTAAGAGAGTGTTGGAATCCGGTGACTAAAATTTAGGAAGTGTCATATGACGGTGTTCGGATACTAGTAAAAAAATAAATTATAGAATCCGTCAGTACTCCACGAGACGAATTTATTAAGACTAATTAATCCGTCATTAGCACATGTTTACTGTAGCACCACATTGACAAATTATGACTAATTAGGCTTAAAAGATTCATCTCGTAAATTAGTCGCAAACTGTGCAATTAGTTTCGTAATTAGTTTATATTTAATACTACATGCATGTGTCCAAACATCCGATGGGACAGCGACTAAAATTTAGGAGGAGGAACCAAACACCCTCTAAGGGAGCTATGTTAGCTAGACTAACTTGCAGTGGCGGAGCCACATGTAGGCCATAGTGGGCCATGGCCCCCCCTTGAGGATTGAATTTTCTTAAGGATGCTAAAGGATGATACTTAGTAAGTAATAGATATTTGCACATTAGAGAAAAGTTTAACAATATTAGCCCCCTCTTGAATTCCCTTCACTCTCCGCCATAGCTAACTTGATACTGTCTGCGGCGTTTGCCGGCAAGTCTAGTGGTACGGCACAGGTCAGAGTTTTGTTACCTTTCCGCCAAAAAAAAAGTTTTAATTGTTACCTTATTACGCTATAATAAATTGTAGTACTAGTTTTGCCAAAGCCATTATTATCGGTTCAACTCCAAAGAACTTCAGTAGCTCCTCAGAACAGTTCAGTTTATTTTCCCTGCAACAATAATGACAGCAGCTGATCTGAGTTGCCAGCTACACATGCATGCCCCTGTTCATTTTTGTCAGGAGTTAACAATAATCTCTTCCTTTTTCCCTACAGTGTGCTTCTGCTTGTACAATAATGCTAGTATCTTTTAACATACTAACATGAACCTGTCCTTCTGGTCTCACAATGTTATCCCCACTGCCTGTACCAGCGCTCTCAAACTCTGTGCTTGTTAATTACTCCAGCTGTTATTATATACCTTTTTTTTTTTTGTCTTCGGTGTTATTTGGAGTGACTGAAGTTGCACTTCGATGTGGATGCAGGCCAACTCGGCGCAGTGGCGAGACATGCAGCACGTCTGGGGGGCCACGTGGAGCCTCACCCCGGGCCCGCTTGTGGGGCCCTTCTCCGTGCGGCTGACGACCCTGTCCGGCAAGCAGACCCTTACGGCCCAGGACGTCATCCCCAAGAACTGGGCCCCCAAGGCCACCTACACCTCCCGGCTCAATTTCGCGTAGAGGGCGCCTGCCGGGCCGGCGTATTATTGGCCCGGGAGGTGGTCAATTGGGCTTAGAATATAGTCATTCGGAGGCCCACATTGTTCTGTGCAAGTTTGATGCCGCGTGAAGAAGTGTGTGAAGAAGATAAGCTGGTATAGTAGTGGATAACCTGGTATTATGGCCGAGGTAGCCCCTCTCCAAACTGGAGAGAGAGCGTCTGATTTGGTTTCTGTGGGCCGCATGCTTCCTGGAGGCTGGAAATGGGAGCTCCGGTGAAGAGCGGCTGGGGAACCAAAGGCGTGACTCCTCTTGGATGGACTCATGCAGTACTTATTTCGTCGTTCTCTCGTAACCTAATCTATTATTCTTATCGTGCCCTTGGTACATGGGTTGTAACTTGTGACTTATGCACCCTAATTTTTAGGGTCCCTAAACTATAATCCTCTATTGTTTGTTCATGTTAGCTATCAACGACTGTTGCCATTTTGATAAAAAAAAATGCAAGCTCAAATGATCAATTGTAATAGATCACACTGACACTGTCCAGGAACAAGGTATCTCTACAATGTTGTAATTACTAGGACGACAGGCGCGCTTCGCCGTGCCCAATTGAGTGTTAGTCTGTAGGAGCCGATGTTTTAGTTAATTAGTTTGCACTGATCATTATAGTATACAATTTGTTCTCTGTCATATCAACCAAATGGCCTCCAATGTTACCGAGCTGCTGCCTCCACCGACATAGGTTAAAAATAATCACCAAAACCGAAGATGGCATAAGCTCATCAAAAACAACCATATAGAGGTTGCAGGTATCAGAATCACCATAAGTAGCTGAGTAAAAAAAACATGATATTTATGTGATAGCTATTGGTTGAATCTTTATTGAACATGTAATGCTATCTTGTGATAGTAACTGTCACATTAGTGTACATTTACCACATATGGTAGCACATTGTTTGGCGCAGATAATGCCTGCAACTATGCAAGGCTGAGTATTACATGGGACAAACGGAGGCAAAACGCTAAAATTTGATGATGGTACGCCTATGAAACCTAACTTGGCAGCAATAATCAATGACAACGGCTTTATGAAACTTAACTTGGCAGCATCAGTCCACGTTTGCCCCTGCAATAGATAAATGGACATTCAGAAACTGGATGATTATTGTTAAGTTGAAACCTAGATCGAGATCAATTCAGGTAAGTATTATAGATACCTATCACAAGCGCTCATCCTTGCTATTTAGCAGGGCCAGAAGGTTATTTGGGGCCAAGTTTGGATGTGGGATTTGGTCAGCAACTTTTATAATTTTTTTGAGGAACCAGCAACTTTTATAATTAGCCAGTTCTTTTTAAACTCTGACCTTGCATGGAGTTTCCCTGTAATAAAAATAATGTAGACAACATAAATTACATTGAACCAAAGAGGATCGGGAAAGAATAGTTAGCTCCCCATGAAGAAGGATAAGGTCCACTCTGAGAATTTTTGGTAGACCAGAGAACCTAACAACCCATCTCCTGATCTTCCATTTATGTGATTATGCAGTAACATAATGCTTGTTGCATCCTGCATTAGTAATACAAATTAGTTGGTTGCACGAAGCAAGGCATAGTAATGTGTTGCATATAAAATAGCAATGATGAGCAACTTTTGCTAAGAAAAACATCGGGATGTATTAGGACCCTAAATAATATATATGCAACAAATAAAATTTGGAGCCTGATTTTAGGCCGCTCATTGCATCCCCAGATCCTATTGATGGGAAAGATTAATCATGGGGTCATGCAAGGTTAACTCAATAATGTCATATTATCTGTGTGTAGTCGTAGTTCATCGATCATTTAAAACCTAAAAATATGTAAGTAATGCAAATATACCATCCTATCATTTATAGAATCACTATAAGATTATTCTAAGAAACATTATGTAAAACTATGGTCCCATTTACATGGGCAATTAGGCAGCTATTAGTAAGAGAACATGGCGATGAACCAAAATTAGAGTGCAAAATGGAAATTGCCAACTCTTTAAGGCCACCTAGGATGTCAGTAGCAACAATTACAATGCAGCCTGTTCGTTTCGGCTAAAACGATCGTGGATTATTACTGCTGGGTGGTTTGGTGTGAGAGAAAAATATTATTCTGGCTTATAATCCACGATCGTTTACGACCAAGCGAACAGGCTGATGGTATGCCTTTGGTTCCACTGATGAAGCTGTGAAGACTACTTTAATGATTGGACATATAGGTGATGATAACAATGCACCTAAGATGGCGAGGTAATTCAAAGCATATCATGTGTATGTTTGTGCTATTTTATTTCATTAAACTAGAACATATTCATAGTTAGGTTAAGATTCATAGTAAGAACAGTGGACTGAAATAAATAAATCAGAACCGTGCTAACTGTTTGACCTTATTCTTTTCAAGTACACTACTCTGTACATAGAGTGGACTAATTGAGAATTGGTAAATGTTCATTGTTGTCTCAAATAAGATTGCACTTAAATATATATACACATAGCCTTTCCTGTATGGTGTGACCTTTTGAGCCACGGCAGTAGTTTTTTCTCGAAGACGCCATTGTAATGGTTTGAGTTTCAGGTTACCAATAGTTAGCCTAAACACCATACAGCAGCCACCAAAGTTGACCATAATATTTACTCAAAATACATATATATTATTTGAATAGAGGAGACACCTAATCAAAGAGTGCACCTACAGAGATGAAGACCTGACCTTTTATTATGAAGGTGATGCAGGCAGGCAATTCATATGATAATTCAATTCCCCTGTCAATCAAACAAAATGCATGAAAGAGGAAATGAAAAAAATTGCAGGCTAACAACATACCGTCTTTAAAGCTGCAAGTCGTGGTAAATCTTGCCATGGTGGCACCGTAAGGTAGCACCTGTGAAGCATCAAACAAATTCCATTTGGAGAGACATATAAGAATGACAGAGAAACCTTGTCTACATAACTTACTCTTGCTATAGAAGGTACATGCATGTAAATTATAGAAGGAGTAGCTTTGTAAAGCTGCAATTGAAATATCAGACGATAAAAGTTAAAAGATGTCCAAATCTGCAAGTGTTGCGAGGCCTGAAATCTAATAGAGGGAAGGGCACTTCTTGCTACACCTTCGTGATATGGAGGTCCTTCTGGATGAAGATGATGCACCAGCTCATCACACCCACATCTGGACACACCAACACATGATGACATGAACAGAACAATGTCAGTGAAAATATATCAAAGACACAAAGCTATATATTCTGCAGTTTATTTTAGCAGTTCCATCAGTATGAGGAAGAGTATCCTAGTAAATGAGACACCAACTGAATTTGCAGAACAGTTTGACATCATCCCATTACATATGCTAGACTTGAAAACATTTATGCCAGAGTATTTGCAGAGTAGTTTCAGCACGGTCAAGATTGGCATTAACAGATTGATTACGAAAAATATTTTAAATGACTTTTATTATGCAAGATAGCATAGGTTTTTTTTATCTAAGATTAGACCATTATATATTTTATTTGCTTGCTTAAATAAACCACTGAAGAAAGCAAAAGCTACAATCATTTGTAGCTGAATGAGTAAGACCAAATCTGCATCAAGAACGAAACGCCATTGGAGACTTTCAGTGGAGATCTGCTCACCGTAGCCGAGCAGGACATGGTTGAGGGACGCGAAGACGGAGCAGGCAAAGACGTATCTCCGGCAGCTGCCGCCTCTGCCGCGAACACAGACGCCACCGCCGTCCTGCGGCTCCTACGGGAGCACGCCGTCCACGCGTGCTTACCGGTTCTTCCTCCCCAAGAACCCCGGCAAGGTGCCGCCGCCACCGGCCATCACCTCTGCCTTGCTCAGCCGCTCCGTCCTTCTTCCGAGAAGCCCGCCAGGCACCCGGCTGGGGAACGGGAGGAGGTGAAGTGGATCTGAGGAAGGAAGCCAACGGCGAGGCAGCTGGGCGCGACATCCGGGGGCACGGCGGCCGGTGGGGAGATGGAGGCGGAGGCGGCGAGGCATTTTTCTTTTCACGGGAGCTGGAGGAGGGGAAGAGGATGAAGCGGAGGCGTCGAGGCACTGCGAGGTTGTTTTTCTTTCTCTCTCTCTCTTTTTTTTTTGGCCAGAGGCCCTAGACGGCGGCATTGAATGAACCGGAAGAGAGCAAAAGGACGCGGACACACGCACGAGGCACGTGGAGGCGCTCGATTCGTGAACAGTAACCGCACAGTAGCTGAAGCGCTCTCGTCTCGCGGATGCTAGGTGATATATATATATATATATATATATATATATATATATATATATATATATATATATATATATATATATATATATATATATATATATATATATATGCACCCTGTTCCTTGGCTTATTTTGCTGATAAGCCATGGCTGAAAGTATTATTGGCTGATTTGGTGTAAGAGAAAAATACTATTTGTTGGATGAAAAAGTACGGTGAAGTTTCATATATTTCACTTGTCTATATTGGGTCATCCTGCCATACATGAGTTTATATGGAATATAATATTGAAGCTCACTTTGAAGAATAATAACAAAACAGGAAAAACAAAAATAATCATGTGATCAAACCAAGAAGCAATCTTTTTAGATGCCATCTACAGTTAAAGAAAATTCAAGTTAGCATCAACTGACTGGGAAAGCAAACTTGCAGGAGATAAGCTACAGTTAATCCTGTTACCTATGTTCTACTTCTACACTTGGTAAACCAATTCACTTTGATAAACCAATCAGCTGTAGATCACAGTATGGTTCTTTGTCGAACCATTCAATAGGTTTAGCACTAGGTAGGAATAGAAATAAGAAGTAAAAAAACGCACAACATGTATCAGTATTAAGTATTGTGGCATTGCTGAATGAAAAAGCTTCAGGATCATGGAAAGTCTTTTTGATGTATCCCGAGTCGGATAGAACTGCATGGACAACAAAGAAGAAAAAAGGACATAAGACAGCCCTGTTCGTTGAACTTATCAGCCGGCTTATCAGCTCTCATAACAAAATAGCTTTAGCCGACTTATCAGCCGGCTTTAATACCAGCCGAACAGACCCGACGATGGACTTGACTAATCTGTTCATTAGAGAAAATAAGTATCGGTTCCTTATGCACACTTCTATTGCACCTAATCTGGGCATATTTGAGTTTTAATATACTCTAATGATGACTTCATACACTGCTATGTTCTAAAATCAAATGGGAGTTCCCTTGGGCACAGTCAACCAGATAGATTTTGTGTGTTTACAATACACTTTAGTATGTTGCAGCAGCTGTCATTGCGTCTCCACGCACTACATTCGCGGTTTTAAATTGCATCAACTTAGGTGGATAGCCTAGTTGCACAGGTGCAGATTTCATTATGCAATTGCTCTTACCTGGATAAGCAGGGCGGCTGCTTCAATCTTGTTTCTCTAAAAATATGGAAAGGAACTCGACATCTTTTATTCTGTGTTTTCTAGGTTGAAGCACCAATTTGTGATGGAACGCATCAAGGAGCTGTAGCGGGGTCTCTCTGAAGCCTGGAATAGATTATCGACACTGTACAATCAGCACACAGATGTGTATGCCAATAAGAAAACCCAGAAATGAGGGCGAATGAACTTACATGATAGACACATATTTTGGCTAATTGAAAGCAAAAGCAAAGTTTATGCAGTTTACTGGATGGAACCATTCGCATCGCAGCTCATCAAATCAAGCAAGAGGCTATTAGAGCTCGCGAAATTGTATATTTGTAAGACATGGGAATTTCGTCAAACACATGGTCACTGATCGACAAGCCTAGCACGTGAGGATGAAGACCAAATTGCAATCACTTTGCTATGACGATTGACTCACCTAAGCTCAACGGCGTGAGCCCGGCTCTGTATCCACAATACTCCGTTGCTTGTTTTAGTATCAGAGAAAAAGTTTATCTAGGTAGTTGTATAGTGAGTTCAATATTTACATTAAATGATTGAGCTAGCTCTCGAGCCTTATTTACATCTTGCAAGTGATATGCCCCCTTTGTTTATGGGTTAGTGGATTAGAACGAAGGAGAGATTTAGTCTTGTAACGTGAAAAAACGCTTTCAATAAACTTACCAATAGCAGCTGTTAGACCTCCAGCATAAAAATCTGTAGTAAGTATTGTTTTTTTTGTGTGCGGATAAATAATGAGACAAGCACGCTGAGCCATTTCATCGAATAGCTGGGAAGCAAGGAAGGAGAACAAAGAGAGGGACACGAGCAGCGCTGGAGAGAGGAGAGAGGGAGTATGTGAGTGGGACGGACCTGGAGCTGGAACTCGAGCCCAGTCTCCATGCATCAGTGGAACTGTGGAAGCATGCTACTCATTTGTATGCTCACTGCTCATCGCAAAATGGATCAGTCCAGCACGCCGCCATACGTATCCACGGCGCCCAGCTGCAAAGAATGAGCTTGGTGCCAGCGTAGTTGTTGATTAACGCGCAGGTGGTGCCGGCGCCGCCGAGCAGTTCGGGGCGGTGGAAGCCGCCGGCAAGTCGCTGCAGCGGCGAGCCGCAGGCAGCAGCGGAGCGCATGATGGCGCCGCTCCCGCCACCCAGTTCAGCCCCGTACGAGCGCATCTGTGCTTGAGTTACTGCTTGGGCGCGCGGCTGAAATGCCGGTGTGCTCGGGTCGCTGCGCAGCCTCGTCCGTGGGCGGCGCTCGCTCTTGTGGTGCGCGGTGGTGGCTGCGCTCGGCTCGCCCGCGTGGGCTGCGCCGCCTCGCCATTCGCTCGACAGGTGAGCCTGAGAAGGTTCCCGAGCTTTCGGGATCCGCAATCGAACGGACGCCATCACGAGTTTGTCGGATCGGACGGTAAGCGGGCTAACGGGCGACGTGGCGTAATCGGGTGCCCGAGCTTGGCTCATGATTCGTATTGAAGAGATTAGTGAAATGAAGGACTGCCCCTTTCACACTGTGGTAGCTGGAAAGTGCTATCTAAATAATGAAGCCAGGTTTCCTTGTCCTTTGGCTTTCACTTCCTCAATGAATTGAATGGGCACATCAAAATCGTATCAATGGCTGTAAACTGAGATAGACTGTCACGTTATGTGTGCAGAACTTCACCGGAAATTGATCCGTTCCTCTTCACTTTCCAATGACCAGTGCAATCACGCCGGGCACACGTACGAGTCAGTTCCTACTCTGGTACTCTCTCCGTAAAAAAAAACAATTATCAGATCCATCATAGTCAAACTAGCTAAAATCAACTAAATTTATAATAAATAGTATTAGCATTTACATGATGAAAACAAATTATTATGAAATTCTTTTAATAATACTTATTTTATATCATAGATATTATTATTTTTATATAATTTTGAGCAAAACTTAAATCAGTTGACTTCTAAAAATGATAATTACAATCTTTATGGGAAGGGAGCATGCTGCAACCGCTGCCTGTATCCTCGACTCCTCGTCAAGTCATCAGCCTGGCAAACGCACTCACGGGCGTAGTGGTAGTAGCTCCTGTCATGGGGATTGAATAGCAAACGATGCATGTAAACATGACAATTGTATTATCTACATACATTTTCCTCACTGAATCCTCCTTGTTCTTACCTAGTCTCGGAATCCCTTCTCTTCTTTTCCAAGGAGGTCTGTTTGAATAGGTTAAAGATTTTGGGATTCTGATTTAAAAAAATCTGTAGTTCTGTACCCTATCCAACAGGCAACAGGGAAGATAGTGAGGCAGATTCTTAAGTCTTATCACTCAAGTTTTAATAAAATCTTAGAATCCTCTTTATACTAGATAATCCAGATTTCTAGGATCCTTTAGTCATCCAAATCCAAACAGCACCCAAGTTCGAGGCTTCAAGCTAACAACTCCGACTTCTCATTAGAAATTTCTTGCCGGTTTGAGGATTGGGACATTATTGACATCCCTCGTTCTAAGGCGAAAAGAACTGATAATTCCTTTCTATCTATTTTTTGTGTTTCCATGCTGGGAACTGAATCATAGGTACTAAGGATGGCAACAGGACGGGTCTGGACTTGAAACCTATGGGTTTTAGACCCGACGGGTGAGGGAGGCGGGTGCAACTCTCCTCCCGCGGGTTCGGGGACCCGAATCGGGACGGGTTGGGTTTCAAATTCTCTCCGGATTTTCCGTGGGGACCCGAGACTGGAGCGGCCTATGTAATATGAGGCCCAACCCATAAAAGAACTCCAGCTATATAACAAGAAAATCATGCCTATCCACTCATCCCTTCCCCGCAGTCGCACACTGCACGGCGCTCCGCCTGCTCGACCGCTTCCCCTGATCGCCCGGCGCATGGCCCTCCACCCGCTATCCGCTCGGGTGCCTCTGTGCTGCTCCCCTGTTCGCCGTTCGCGTGCGTCTCGTGCGTTGCTCCCCTGCTCTCCACACGGCCACACACTAGCATACCGGCAACCCCACGCACCCTCGTCGCCCCAGCGGGTCGGCACCTCTGCCCTCTGCTCTCCCCCTCTCCCCCATGGCGGAGTGTCCCCCCGAGAAGCGGTAAGCGCCACCTTCGGTTGTAGCCTTCGGCGAGACGGCACCCACTCCGACGTTGGGGTGAGCAAAAACTCGGGTTCGGGTCCTCGTTGGGTTCGGGGGCAGGTCCAGATTACCACCCGAACCAAGTTCGGGCCTGGGCGGGTTTTCCTCTCAGGTTTCGGGGGCGGGTCCGTGGACGCTCCACCCGACCCGTTGCCATCCATGGGTACAGTAAACCCAAACCCAAGGACAGCTATCACCTATCATCACAGCACGAACATCGGCAAAATGGGGAAAGGCGGAAAGCAGTCACGAATAACCAGTCTGTTCGCTTGTTGGTTTCAAGCAGAGCTTATCATCGCGGCAACAGTGTTTTCCTCTCACAACAAACCAACATCATCGGACTAAAACAGCAAGAGGGCCCAAATCGGAATGTCGGATGACATCTAGACCTGGTTCAGCAGACCACAATGGGGTCCATCAGATTCCCGAACTGAAAGTGCCTTCCGCGGTTCCGCCCTCCCGACGCAGGCGCATAGACGGCTTGGATCACCTCGTTTTGTAGACCTCGACCACCACCTCCAGGTGGGCCAGACCCCTTCTTCTCCCTTTAAATCCCCGGCGTACACGCGAAACCAATTGGGAAGGGCCGCGGCGAGCAGCGGCGGGGGCGGAGTGGGTAGTGCCGCAGTGGAGCGGCGAGGGTCGCCCCTAGAAGCCGTAAGCCCCCTCCCTCACTCCAGAACCTTCTAGAATGCATTCGAACGGTCGAACCCCACTGCGGCCTTGCTTTGTTTGGCGGCGGAGGTTGATCTCGTGCGCTTGCTCCGCCATGGTGTCCCGTGGTTGGTTGGTTCAGTGTTGGGGTTGCCGTCTCGTTTCTGATCGAGCGGGGGTTCTGCGTCGGTGTCTATCGGTCATGCTGTTTCGTAATTTTTCGGATTTTAGTTTCCAGCAGGCGCTCGATTTCAGTTTTGGTGCTCGTGTTGTGTCAGTGTGTTCACCCGTGGTCGTTTGGTTCGACATTGGAGGGTTTGGGTGTGGGTTCTTAGATGCCACCCGCGGCGGTTTGGTTCGAAGTTGAAGGGTTTGGGCATGGATGGGTTCTCTGATTAGATGGTCATATGGCGCATCGGAGCAGGTAGCTAGTGTTTTTCTCTGAATGCGCGTGGTGGCGGTGGTGCCGCTGGAGACGTTCCTGTTCGCGGCGAGCATCCACGAGAACATGGCGATTTTCTGGTTCACAGCGAGTTCCGTCACTTCCGTCACACCATTTTACCAGAATGCCACTTTCAGATGGCGGTCCAATCTTTCGATGGTATTTAACTGGGGGCGCAAACTTTCGATGGTATTTTACAGAGATCGCGATTCTTCGATGCTACACAACCAATTTTCCCATAGTTTTACTGTCCAAGCAGGCTTGAGTCCTGGCAATGTCGTTTCTATCTGGTTTGATTCGGCCCTTGTACCCAACTCGCGTTTTCCTTGTTTGAACTATTGGACCCTAATTCTGTAAGGTGTGTGAAGCTGTGGTTACATTTTATTTGTTGGTTATCTGCGTACTCTATTCGGACATGCTAGTATTTCTGATGCTTGAATTCCTCTTATTCGACTCTCTGGTGGGTGTATTTGCAGTTTGGGTACGGTTAGGGCATTATGGTGTGGGTAGTGCTGCAACATTGCTTACACACTTGCATTGGAGTGTGATGATCATCTGCCCACTAGGAGTTTATTGCTCACCTGTGCTTGAACCATACAGAGACAAACTGACAAAGTGATATCCAATTTTTCCATGTTGCTTGGATTTATCCCTTCTCTTTTCAATTTTACATTTGGGTATGTTTTTAACATTTTGATTAGCGGTCCTGTTACTTAGTTCAGGAGGCAACTCTATCTGCCGTTTTCTGATCCTGATTACTCTATACCAATTTCGGCAGTATTTATCTCCATCGATAATGTTCTCATTAATGTGCGATTAGTTGATGAATGTGTTGAGAGGAATACTTATCATTCTTTTACTGTGAGCCTTCATTTTTATCTGTGATGACTTCTAAGATCATGTCAATTCTTCAAGGATTACCAGTTGCTGCCCAGAAATTATGATCACAGGCAAATAGTTTGTACTTTGCACTGAGTGGTTTGAGTCTATTTGATACCTTCAATTTTGCTATTATACCTATGCACAGGTGGTTCCTGTACCATTTCCTCAAACCAAAAAACACCTTGAAAGAACTAATAAACACAACAGCTTATCAGACCCTATTGAACATTTTCTGCTAAACTTAGTTTGTTAGCCTGTTTAGTGTCTTACTCTCTTCATTCCAAATTATAAGACGTTTTGGCTTTTCTAGATACATAGCTTTTGCTATGTACTTAGATATACACTATGTCTAGATACATAGTAAAAACAATGTATGTAGAAAAGCCAAAATGTCTTATAATTTGGAATGGAGGGAGTAGTATATAAATCAGTTTACCATGAAATTGGCACTTTATCATGTATTTAAGAAACTCAACCATCGTTGTTCACAATTCTCAATAGTTTCTTGTGCTGATAAGTGATAACACTAGTGCTACACTATGTGTCATACTTATCATGTAATGAACACTTCTTTTGTTGGGCAGGTCTCACAGTTCATAAGAGGTTCCCTTTTGGGAAGGTCCTCACCATTGGATCTATCCCATGCGATGACTTCATCCAGTGACGATGAAACCAGGGCACTGAGTACATTGCTTGATGTGTTCAGCTGTGCCATTTCACTTGATGATATAGCTGACGCATATATCAAAGCAAATGGCGATGTCAACAAAGCTGGAGATTTCTTAACCGACCTTCAACTTTTGTTGCCTCATATCAATGATGTTGAGTCAAGTGTCGAGACTAACCTTTCCCATACTGACAAGGCAGTTGAAGAAAACTGTATGGACAATTCAAGCCAGCCAAGAACTCTTCCCCGGTCTGAGCAGGCAGTTGAAGAAAAGCATATCGAGAATTCAGATCAAACAAAAATGCCTGAAAAGTTGCATAAGTCTAGTGCTGCATTTGGTACTGTCTCCAGCGTGTTAGGAAAAGAACCTACCAGGGCTACAACAACAGCGAGTAGAGCATCAAAAAAAGACAAACCTCTTAGGGTTGAACTGCCAGAGTACATGCGGGATGATTTTAAGATGAAATCTGATGAATCTGACTCTGCACCAAGGAGAGAGACTCTGAATGACAGGGATGTTGAGGAGTTTTTGTTTTGCATGCTTGGTGAAGGATTTAAGCTCAGCATGGAATTGATCCGTGAAGTTCTAGGTTAGCACATCTTCTATCTGACCTGTATTTTCGCCCATCATTTCATATACCAAGAAATGTCTTGATTGTTTAAAATTTCCTTTTGCAGGCAGCTGTGGATATGATATTAAGAAGGTACTGATGTAATTGTTGTTTATTATATATTTTCTGCCACTCCCAACTGTCGCAAATGAGTGAAAGGGTTTAACATTTAGGCTTTATCATTTAGAGTTTATAGGACATAGTTTCATCTGTCATTACATTTTCCTCTTGGCCTACTAATATAGCTGTGCATACGTATTTCAATTTGTTATTTCATTTCTTATTGGCCTACTAATAGAGCTGTGCTGTTGTATGCAGAGCATGGAGGAATTGATGTCATTTTCTGAAAAAGATCCAGACAAAAAGGCAGAAAGCAAACATAACGCGATACAAGTAAGACTACTTCTGCCTCTTCACCTGTATACTTCTGAACTGTACTCCTGTATATGTGCAACTTGTTAATCACTCTGTAATGTTCATCTGAATTCCTTTGAGGACTGCTTGTTCGTTACATGTTTTGATTCTTTATTACATGTTTGGTGTTTCGTTGACCTGAACTCTGAATATAGCATTTTACTCTCTTTCTTTCTTTCTTTTTTGCCAGATTGGATTGATCAGTGTTCACCATTTCTTGTGCTGATATATTGATCTTTAGCATATATCGCTTAGGTCCGCCCTTTTTAGCCTGACATGGTATCTGATTTGTCGCGTGAGTTATTTTTGTTTTAATTTTTTGTGTCCTTTTAATTTTTAAATGGCAGCTCACCCAGTCAACTTCTACTGTGCTAGTTTATATATGAATTTTCATTTGAATGCATTTGGCATTTGTTTCGTTTGGTATAGGTGTTTGAATAATTGTGGCCCGTAATATATTGATGGTGCAGGATGTGGCAGTAGAATGTTCTGTTCCAAAGGGAAGATGCTTAGGCTCGCAGTCAACAGAGGGAATGCAGAGGTCAAAGCCAAAGATTTCTCCAGGAGAGTTGATAGAAGCAATCTTCACTGTACCTGAACGATTGGAGGAGCCAAAATTAAAACGATATGAATTGGGCGCAAATCGAAACAGAGTCCCATATCAGAAACCAGTCCTGAAACCTCTTGAGGACATTTCAACATATTCTACTGAGTTTCCCGTCAAAGTTATCTTAGGTAGCAAAGGTATACTCAGCTTACTAGTGCTCTCTTTGTTTTCAGAATTTAGGTTACTATACATTTTATACGAAGCATACTGAGTGCAAAATCTTTGTCCAGTTGTCTGCTGCTTTTTCTACATTTTCAATCTTTTGTGCCAACATATTCAGTTAAGCCTGTAACACGAACAATGTAAGATCTTTAAAGTGAGCAGACAAAACCAACCATAATACAACCTTATCGATGGCTTGAAATATTATGCCGACGTACTCTAAACGCACAATTAAAGCCAACATATGTATCCTCTCAGTCATTTAGTTCTTTGTATCTGCATTTTGTACTGAATTTATGTGTTATCCATTTACATGCCCATCCACTTGCAATGTGTGGTACGAAAAAGTAAAGTTAGTGTTTGTTTCTTACCTGTTGCGTGTTTAACCAGTTGAGTATTGATATCGTAACAAAATGTTATCTGAACGCTTAGTTATCTGCAGGGGCTTTGGCTAAACAAATTTCATACTTTCCAATGACAAGTTACAACTGTGGGATATGTAGGATGGCTTTTTTTCCTACTGAAGTCTGGAGGAACTTAGCAAATACTACCTCCGTCTCGCAGAGTGACATTTTGGTTTTGCCCTAAGTCAAAATATTTTAAGTTTGACCAAGTTTATAGAGAAAATTATCAACATTTATAACACCAAATAGATTTTCTATGAAATTTATTGTATGATGAACTTAGTAATATTTATTTGATATCATAAATATTGATATGTTTTCGTATAAACATGGTCAAACTTACGATTGTTTGACATATGACAAAACCAGAATGACACTCTTTGTGGGAAGGACATTGGAGCAAGTTCTAATCTGTGTTCTATGCTTTCTCAAAGTGTATTAAGGTTGCTTGTGTTTACAGCACAAAACATGTGTCTCGAATCAAAACAAGAGCTTAAATGTTTTTTTTTTGCAACATGTTGACAACTTTTGAGATAAAACAGCTAGCATGAAATCCCCTAAAGAAATGTAAAGCCTATGTTTGTACTATGTATCATAGCGAAATTTTTAACTTATTTTGAGCTGTTTGGATTTATATGTAGCACCATCTGTGAATGAGGAGGAATACCAGAACTACCGCAGGGCTGCAAAGCAGCACTGGGATATGATGAAACAGTACTATGAGAAGGTGGTTCCAAGATGATGTTCATTTTTTTGAGAACACATATGATGTCCTTTGTTTAATTTGTTTCCAGTAAATATATTGTGTTTATTTATTGCTTGTGTTATGTTCTGCTGAAATTGCAGGCTGCTGATGCTTTTAGGGAGGGTAACCAGAAAGAAGTCGATTATCTTATACAGGAAGTAAGTGTCACGCTTCTTTATTTTTTTGGGGGAAAGATAATGTGTGGAGATTGCATGTCGAAGATTTTTTTGGCCTGCTTAATACCTTAGAGCTACACGATTCTAATAAAAAGTGAATGATGTGACTGTGGTCATAATTATTAAACATAAAACATTGGAAGGTTTTGTCTGCTTGTTTTATTATGATGGCTACATAGAGACCAGAATTCAAGAAAACATATTACTAACTAAAATACTCTCTGGATATCAAGGGCAAGCGCTGTTATCAGATGGCTCGATTGGCTGATGAGAAATCTGCTGGGGAGATTATCAAACCCAAGTAAGTGTAATGTTTATGTCAAATGGAATTATTGGACTGTTTTTTTATTTTTTGTAGCCTCAGAATGTGTACTTATAAGATCAAGTTACCGGCTTCCTGCAGGGAAACAGAGTCAAAAAATGAATTTTGTCTTGATCTGCACAAACAAGATGCAGCAAATGTATCTAATCTCTTGAGACTCCATCTTAAACATTTGGCAAACATTCCATGTAATATTGGTTCATGACTCTTTGAGTTTATCAGTTCCTCTGTTGGGAATTATCTTATTTCTCTGATGTTTCGTGTTTGCAGCTTTTGATTACCTGAAAGTTATCATTGGTGTTGATGACGGCAGTTTCAAGATGGGACAAAGAAGAAGAAAGGTGTGAATCTGCTAGCTAACTATTACTTCTGATTTTTGCACTATACCTGCTGCTTAGCTGGATGCATGATTTTGAAGTCAATCCTTGGGTTACACCTTGAGTTTTCATCTGAAATAATAATATTGACATAAAATTCCTACTTTATTATGATATTAGTAAAATGCTTCATACCAACATTTTACTTCATTCTGTTTTGCACTTTGTACAATATCTTATTAAATTCTTCATTTCGATCCCTCTTGCCCATAGCTATATAGAGAATAGGTCTCTAGACAAAGTGTGTCAAGAAAACATTACATATTTGGTAACACGGAAATGAATTAATAAATAAAACAATAAAACATGCTAAATCTTCTGCGCATAGTCAATATACAGGTATTGTATATGGTGTAAGTCTAGTCACCATGATTAATCCTTATGTTTCATGCAATTTTGCCTTCACCCTTCGTGGACATGGATGCGTTGTATCCAGGTTTTCCAGAATCAGATGTTCTGTCAAGTATGTGGCATTCATACAGAATGCCTTAAAATTCTATGTTGAACAGACTCCTGTGTAGCTCACATAGATGCTCTTTTAGGTCTTCACCTGAGGTTGACGATTTTGACTGTTTGAACTTTGAATATGATAGGTGATGAAGTATGTGGAGAAGAATTCACTCAAGTGGACTGAAGAAGAGCCCCGCTCTGGGAATATCCTCATCCGGATTAATCAGGTGGAAAATCAGCAGGGATAGGTTCATGTATACAAAGGTGGCGTGACACAAGGTGGCAGAAGATGACCATAGATCGTAATACATCTTAAGTGCCGTTTTGAATCAAGGTGCTGTAGTTCTTTTGGCAAAGGGAACCATGTAAGCTGCCATGAATGGCATTCTTTTTGTGCACACATTGCAGACGTTTCGAGTTAATTGCTGCATTGCTGGTGACCACAGAGATAGGGAACACAGGTGATCAAAGGGCTGAAATGGTAGCGTGACAGTGATACTGAAACATTTGTTCTGACGCTCTAAATTACGAGTACCTTATGTGTTACTGTTTGCTTGCGCATGAACATGTGGACAATGGTTTCTGATATACCGCATGGGTCCTTTGCAGTTTCGCAACCGATTTCTTCTTTCTAGGATCAGAACTCAGAAGCTGGTTTTAAATTTAACATCTTCAACGCCGTCACGCAATCACCAAAGCTCTATTACATTACATTTACATGACCCTACGCGCGTACGTCACTGCCGCATCATATTCATATCGCACCCTCAACCCTTCACTATGTACAGAGCACGGCGCATGGCGCGCATCATCATCATGCCCTGCTTCAGAAATCAGAACAAGAACAAGAACAAGGCTCGTTTTTAAGCATATCTACTGATCAGACAAGACAATAACAAAAGGCGAAGATAATGATTTCCAGCTTGAGATACTAAGATCCCAAAACTGGAATAATTTGCCCAACAACTATGATGATTTTTTTTCCTTGAATCGTACAAGCTCCATACTCACATAGTCACAGTGCATACACGCTGACAAAAACAAAAGTGTGATAGGATCGGGAAACCATCAATGATTTGGCCAGCAACTTGGAGGAACTTTTCTTAAATAATAAAAGATAGGCTCCACAGCTGTATAGAGGCATAGATTTAACTGTCAACATAGTAGATTTTCGTTGTCTTATCCTAATTGTGCATTCTCCATTGCTATTCTAATCCAAGGAGTAACTCGGAACAAGCAATGGCAGATAGTTTAGTGCACTCGAGATACCAAAACCGATAACCCACACGCATCACGTTTCAAGGATTTGTATCTAGTTAAGCTTAGCAGTTAGCACACCGCGCCCGCAAAACAAGGTACCGTTAGCCTTTCAGCTTTTTGTTTGGCGCACTCAACATATGGCCGATCCGATCATTTTTAAGAATGAAGCAACATCCTGAAGCTTTCCTCTACTCTAGTATATACTGTGGAGTCGATTGCATTTCATAAAAAAAATAATGCATAAACAAAAGCACGCACAATTCAATACGGCCTTTTCAAATAGGATGCGAATCCATACATGAAAAACGTGATCATTTTAAAGAAACTCGCAAGTATGACCGAATGGTAGTTGCCAACAGACATTTGGTTTCCTCGCGAAAGAGAGACAGAGGAGAGAACAGCAACATTTGGCGTTGACAGAGACAGATTGGCTGCATCCCTCGAACAGCAGGACCAAGAAAGCAAAAAGAGCAACAAGTCAGATGACAGGCCGAGTTACCAGATCCTCCATGGCGATTCGCTTGGAAGCGAGAAGGTGGGTATCGAAATGGCGCAGCACCTTTGTTGGGAGAGGCGATCATGTCCAAAAGGGGACACGAACAGCGATGGAAACAACCCCACCAGCCACGAACACCCCTTGAATGGAAGCAATAGCACTGGAAACAGCCAAAGCAGCTGATCTAAACCATGAACACAGGCAGGCAGAGCACCCCTGGATACTACTAACCCGCACGTATCAAGCAGGCAGCACATACTCGGATCATCGCATCACTCGGAACCAATAAGAACAGAACCAATACGAAGACGAGAAGTGACGGTGGCGACTGACCTGCGGTGCGGCGGCAGGACGCAGAGTGCAGCCGACGTCCCCCTCTCTTTCTGTCCCCGGGGTCCAGGGTGAGCGAGGGCTGAGGAGTCGGCGCAGGCAGGATCACAACAGTGGCGTACAAAAGGCAGAGGAAAGATGTGATACTGGCGACGGCGCTAGCAGCTTTTATGATTGCCCTTGGGGCTGGGCAAGGAAGAGGTGAGATGAGGAGGGCGGCGGCGGATGCGGCGTGCGCGTCGACGTCAGCCGGGGGATAAAAAGGCGGAGATGTTGCGGAATACTAGAAGAGACGGAGCGGAAACGGAGCGGCGGCGGTGCAGTCAGTCAGGAGGAGGCAGAAGCGGACGCTTCGCTTGTTGGAACTTGGGAGCAATGCAGGTTCTACTGGATCGAGTCTAAGTCTATTTATTACCTAGATTTATTATTCTTTTGCTGATTCATTATCTATTTATTAAAGAGAGAGAAATCTACCAGCAGCAGTTTCTATGATATCTTCGAGGTAATAAATGACTGATAAGACTTTTTGATTGAGTGCTGGAAAACCTTTCCTTAGGTGATGGAGCAATTGGTTGGATTGGATGGGTGCAGATCCTCTCCTTTTTTTACCTAGATATAGTACTCCCTCCGTTCCTAAGTCTCCGTCGCCTGAGCGTTTTTCGTTTTTCTACTAGTCTCCGTCGTATTAGCTTCTTTCCCGGTTTTCTCGGTAGCGCAGGCTTCTTTCCCGGTCTCCGTCGCCTCGTTTCATCTGCGCAGTCTTTACTACGCCGCCAGCTCTGTTAGCTTTTATACGTATCCGACGTTTCCTCCGTTTGCCCATGTACTGCCTCTTCCGTGACCGCGACACCGCGCCATCGAGTGCCCAAGCCATCGTCGATCCTCAGCGCCATCGTGGTGTGAACTGGGCGCCGGATTCATGCGTCGAAGAAGAAGAGGATCAGCAGGAGATTGCCCCTGCCGAAGAAGATGATGCTGACGTCTTTCATGCTCTAATGCAACTTGCATCAACTGAGGTAACCAAGTTTCAATCTGACAAGGAAAGAGAAGATTGCACTAGCTTGCTGCTCCCTGTCTACCTTCCTCTTTTGTATGGACAACATGAACAGCATGTACACGATGCCTCTGTTACTTTGTTTTGGATTGGACGTGGCCTTGTTCACGGGTATGCTTTGGTTTAGTTTTATCGATGATTTTTGTTTTGATGTTGGATGTCATCTGGACAGTGTAAACAAGTTTATCACGAGTTGTGGATGAAATCTGGAATTTTTAATTTTGCTTGCAGTTTGAATTCAGGCTAATAGATCATTGCAACTCCTTACTGAACCTCATCTGACAAACAAACACTTATAAGTACCCACGCATGCTAATTGTATCTAGACTAAAACAATTCTAAGTACCGACGAATTGCATGGCTTGATTATGAAGCTGCAAAGGGCACTTCAGAGTAATGGGAAGACGTCCTTGCAGCTCCAGGGTCTTCTTCTTCATGTGAGGGATGTTGTAGTGCTGCCCGCCGTTATGCTTCATGATCTCCATCATGCAACCCTGCTGGGTTAGGAAAATTCGGTTCGATCTATCCACCGGATAGTTCTGATATGCCTCATCAACCGTCTTGACAATACCGTTAATGTTGTTTGGTGTACCTTTCTCAAACAAAGCTTGGATTGCTGCAAAAAATCCAAGATCCAAGACATTCAGATCAGGTGAGTTAGGAGGTTGGCATGTTAGCCTAATGTCCCAACCATCAGCTTGGGCGGCCTGCACAAACGCTGGATCATCTACGGCAATGTGAGTCCTTGCATTGTCTTGTTGTATGAAGATTGGCATCCCTCTTTCTCCGGCTGGCCACTTTGCCTTCAATGCTAGTAGAACTTTGTTCACCATAAAGTCTCGGCTCACATCCTTGGTTACCGACGTCATGGGCTTTGTTACAGGGTCACCTGCAAATGCAAAGAAACTTATGTTAGGCACCAAGACAAAGTTATGTAAAGCATACGAAAAATTGAAGAATGTCTTACCCCTCTCCCTATTTGGACTCTTTCTTTTTGTTGGTTCTACCTTGACAAAAGGGGAAAATCCCTATTTTACCATCAAATGTGCAATTTCCATTTGCATCATATCTAGGCCTTGTAACCACAGCTAGAAACATTACCTTTTCTATGAAATTCTTACTTTTAACAAAACGTTGTGGTCTTTCCTCATCATTGGCCAGATAATATTTTTGGTTCTTACGTGTCCTATAGAACCATTTTTCGTCAATGTACACAACATTGTACAATGGTTTGAAAGATAAACCATTCATCATGGACAAACAATATTTTACCCGAGCTTTTTTGTTCTCATCGGTCAAACTAAACTTAAGGTCATTAGTGTGCCGACGAAAGTAGCCTTCTTTGAAACGCTTATAAAGAGTGCTTTTCTTCACTCCTAAAGCATTAGCGAGGTCTTGAAAGGTAGAGCGCTGTTTTAGAGGAATGTTTTTTATGGCCTCCAAATCAATTTCTACTCGTTTCCTACCACAGTTCTTGGAATACTTGTTCACAATTCCTTATATTCCACCATCTTGACCATTTTTCCAAATGGACTGTACAACTCTTAAAGGGACATCAAATTTTTCAGAAACTGATTTCGAAACTCCACGATGAAGAATAGGTGGATCAGTTTTTGACAACAAGTCAAGGTAAATGGCGATCTTTAGATCATCAGGATAGAACTTCCTTTTCTTGGCGTTAGAACCTGCAAACATAATGCTTAAAAAATTGAATCACACATAACTGAAACCTGAAGCTAACCGGGCTACATTGAATCACAGATAGCTGAAAATGGTTTGTACACTGTAGCTGTCCGACAACACACTAACCTGAAACTAGATTCTACGGGACTGTTCTATGAAGCAACATCTAAACTGAAATGAACTGGACACTCATACACTGAAAGGAAAAGAATCATAAACTAACCATCTGATGCTGCTGCATCTCCTTGCACCGAAGGAACCTGAACACCATCTGTTGCTGCGTCTGAAGAAACATGAACTCCATAGGCTGCACCATCACCTTGCACTCCATCTGCTCCATCTTCGTCATCTATGGCATGAAACAAAAAAGGAAGAATGAAACCATAACCAGAAGGAGGACATGGTAAAACAGAAAAATGAGCGAAGGAGCACCTTCTATTCCATTGTCCCACACCATGTCATAATCGAGTTCATGAGCAGGGCCATCAAACTCCGCAACGTCATCCCAATCTATGGGATAGATTTGGCCTGAGTCGGGTGGCTGTAGGTTCAAATCGATCCCTAATCCAGGCATTGCTTTGGTACTGCAGCATGAATGAGGCAGAGAAACAGGGAAGCGAGGGGAGAGTTCGCTGGAATTACCTGGGCATAACGATCCTCCATGGTGATTTATATAGGCCATGGAAAAATCGAACTAGAGTGGCGGCAATGAAAATTTGATGCTTTGGCGGCTAAATTTTGTTCTAATGGAAGATCAAACGAAAAAGCACGACCGTGCAGGGGTACATACGTGAACGCGGGTACATACGTGAGCACGTGAAATTACGTGAGCGCTGCCGCGCAGGGTTACGTACATGAGCGCGCGGAGTACGTGAGCGGGTTAACGGCGTTTTCAGCGGCATCAGCGCGTGATTAATTGGGCAAACGAACGGACGCTGGGACATTAAGAAGACTGCGGCGATTAAAAGCAAATCGGCGCTCCTTTGCTGCTACTTGGTCACTGTGCCGATGGCTAATACGCTGGAGACTTAGGAACGGAGGGAGTATTATTCTTTCTTTTCATTATTATATGTAAAAAATTGCCTTGCTCTTATGTACCAGCAGCAGTTTCGGGTGTGGTTTTATCGCTCCGTGATAAGTGACTGATAAGATCTTTTTTGGTTGGTGCTGGAAAACCTTTTCCCTTGGGCGATGATGCCAGGAGATGGCTTGCGTCCGCGTACAAAAGCACTTTTTGGCCTTGTTCCGTTCCAAAAGAAGAAAAAAAAAGCACTTTGCCTTGGCGTGAGAGCCTGGGCATCAGCTCATGCACGCCACTTTGTCGGGCTGGGACGCGCGATAGCCGATAGGTTAGGGGATTCGGCCGATCAGCACAGCGCAAGCGCGCGGCGTGCGGCCGCGTCAGGCTGGGCTCGTCATCTCTCCCGGCTACTGCGGATGCACGTGTATCCATGGATTAAAGTGGATTAAGATAAATACATACGTATACGCATGTAGATAAGACCTGCAATGACAGCATTTTTTAGTTGGCAGCTCCGCGCCGCGCGCGGCTGCATCAACGTCATCGCCCGCACTGGAGTACGTTAAAGTCGTCTTTTCCACTTTGCGCTGCAGGTCACACGGATCACGACTTGACGAGCGACAGCGACCCCAACGGCGGCCCAACCCCGCCCGACCGCACAAGCAAAAGCTGAACCAACCTGAACCGGTGGGCATTCTCCGAGCGGAACCGGGTCGGGTCGGGTCGCTGTCTGTGTAGTGTGTACTCCGACCTGCGATTTCCAGTCCATCAGCCGCTGTTCGCCGATCGAAACGGATCATGTTCATGAAATGATTGGACGACGAGCAGACTGCTAACCAGTAGCCATCGGCCCGTGCAAAAAATTCACTGTTCACGACTTACTGTTTACAACTGATTTTGTGAGAGAGAAACTACTGTTCCGGATGAAAAGGGGTTGAATTTCTTGATCGCACCGAGCTACGTCCACCGACTAATCTAAGTAGCCTAGTACAAGTACCTCCGGCTCCGGTGACGCATCGCCAAACTGCCTAGTGCCTGCTCTACGCGGCTGGCCTTGGGGCGATGCCCGGGCGGAGGTGTGTGCGTGGCACTGTGGCAGTGCGTGCCCACTTGCGCCAGGCGTAGCTAGGTTGGTCCAGTGGAAATGGAAATATTCGTTTCCTTCACTTCATGCAGAGCAGAGTTGCCTGTCAGGCTGTCAGTGACAGGGAGACGCGAGCAGCAGAGCGCACGACGACGGCACTGCCCACATCCACCCGTATCTGAGGATGACGGTGAGGCTTGAGCTATCGCCCCAGGTTATCGGACTTGTTCAACTAGTAGCAGTCCAGTCAGATCTTTATGCTGTCCTATGGGTAGGTTCAAGGATAAATGATCCAGTAGACCGTGCAAAATCACACGATGGTTAGCCGATTTCGTCAAACCAAATCCCTTGCTCGTTGAGGAGTACGTGCTCACCCCGAACGCTAAGCGCTCAGTTACCAATCGTTTTATTAGCCAATTAACAACGAGCAAAACAATGCTCAAACGGACAGGACATGCTGACCAGTGACCACCGCGCAGGAGTGGTTAGCTTTTTATTAATAATAACGCGACTACAAGGCAAATTACATGGGCTCTAGGCGCTGGGCAAACAGTGCTGACCACTGAGCTTCCACTGCTTGGTAGTCGTAGTCGTTGCTTGGTCGCTCTACTTGTCGATCGGTCGTTGTTTGTGGTACTGTACCGAGTCTGCAGCTACCGTCTTGCTTGTCGTGGCGGTTGCTCCCTGGTTGCTGACATTATTCTCTTGTTGCTCACTGAAGCGGCTACGCTTCAGTTACGGGGCTTCTGATGGCTTCATTACGTGGTGTGCTGGCGGTTGCTCTCCCGGACCCTGTGGCAGTCTTGTCTTGTGGTTGTGGTACAAAAGAAGAAGAAGAAGGTCGGGTCGGAGAGAGGCGGCGTGATGATGGACAAGGATGGGTCTAGCGAGGGGTGGCGCGGTGTTGGAGGTGCTCGAGCTCACGCCGGTCACACCGTTGCTCGAGCTCCCGCCGGTGAAGGCGTGGAGGTGCTCGAGCTCGCACCGGTCTGCATGGAGGAGCTCCCGCGCGATGAAGGCACGGAGGTGCTCAAGCTCGCATCGGTCTGTAGAGAGGAGCGACGAAGATGCTGCAACAATGAAAGATGCAGAGAGAGAGACAACGGTAGTGGGCAAAGAAGATGCGAGGGCAGAAAGAAGGGTGAGAGATATAAATGAGTGTGGAGGAGAAAAAAAAAGAGGACGTAAGGAAGGGTGAGAGACGAATGAGTGTGGAGGAAAAAGGACAATAGATTTTCCATTGACACATGGGCTCTATATGTTATTGAAGATGAGCTATTGGATCTACTACATCAACCTTCAATGCCTCAAAAAGTAGTATTAGGACGTGTTTGGGACATAGGTGTGGCCACTGCGCGGTGCGGTACCACGAACGCGACCTCCACCCACGGCATGAAAAACGCGAGAGCTTGTTCAATCTCACAATTATGTCTTAGACTGTCTAAGAGAAGGAACCTATATACACGTCCAAACCTAAAATGAATAGCAAAAGATAAAAAAATCAATCTTCAACGGAGTACCTATATGGAAGATCTATTTTAGGTTGTCTGAGAGATACAACCTAAATATGGACATCCTTTCCCCTGGAAACTCATTTTCCCCTGAAAACTCATTTGCCGAAAGGATTCTCTTTTGGGTCTTATTATTGAAGAAGATGCCAAATAGGTATTGAACCATTTACCTGTAGCACTACCCAAAGAACAAATGAGTCTCGTATTTTGGTTGTCGTTGCTGGAGATAGCCTTAGGTGGCAGAAAGAATCGTCCATACCGCAAGACATTTAGTGAGATTTTTTTATTCACATTGAGACGACCACAGATTTTTTTTTATTCTTAGTGGAACAACCACATGTCCGATTTTAAATGGTCCCACCCACGTCCATAAAGTAACCCCAATACCACCGACAATACACAGTTACACATTATCACCAACACAATACACATTGCCTTTGGCCACAGCTCCTGATCCATGAACCCATCAATTAATAATAATCAGACGGAGATTCAGATAAGTTCCATACGACTTAGCAGATCTACACACAGGAACACAACTCAATGAATGAAACATGGGACCTAAAGCTAGACCAGAAGCAAACTTTCATCCATATGACTTGCCATCCTTAAATCACATTTATTGGAGTGAGAATCATATTATTATCTACATACAACTACTCAACAGCAGTTCAATAAGAACGGTATACCCATACCCATCCATCTACATAGGGAAATCCAAAGCTAGCTGGCTCAGATTGAGATTTCACCTCCCACCAACATACTTGTCGATGCAGGTGACCAGGGTGCTCTCTGGCACGGCTCCAATCACAGCGTCCTTCTTCTCACCGTTCTTGAATATCATCATGGTGGGGATGCTCCGGATGCCCAATTGGGTCGCGATGTCGGGGTTCTCGTCAGTGTTTAGCTTGTAACATTTCAGCTTTCCTTCGTACTCCTTTGAGAGCTTGCCAACGATGGGGTCTATCATCTTACACGGTCCGCACCATGAGGCCCAAAACTGAACGAGGACAGGAAGCTCACTCTCCACCACAAGTGATTGCCATGTGGATTTGCTCACATCAGGAACTGGGGAAAAAAAATGAGGTTTACAATATATAAGTTGGCACATCAACTTATTTTTTTAAAAAAAAGAGCTTGTACATCAATCACTATAAAACAGGACAAAACAGAAACAGGACAAAATATGCTGCTTTAACTATGTCTAGTTTCTTAAAAAAAAAGGACAAAACAGAAACTATTCCATGAACTATGCTGCTTTAACTATGTCTAGTTTCATTTGCTAAGTTTTACCAGTGTTCTAAATATCGCAAGCTGAAGAGTCATTCATCTAAATATAGCATGATGTCATATGATCCGGGCCTAATGAGCAATGACTTAAAGAACTGCAATTTAAGGTTTTGAAAGTTGAGATACAGTTCCTATTAATGCATCCACATTTCCAGACATGGATATAAGCATGTCACTACAAAGAAAATGTTAAATAGTTTCCAGAACACAAAAGGCATGAACAGAAACTAATCTCCAGGGGCTGAAAAGATATACAATCGTTAATATTCCGGCTTAACCACATAATTTCATACATGAAAATTGCATCAGAGACTACATAAGGTGCAATTGAATAAGGAAACATTAGGCAGTGACTAAACGTAGCAGATAAGGAATCTACTATTCAACCCAATAAGCAATTCATAAGCCTTTTTTTTTTCAAAGCTCACACAGATATTGAACACGAAATTAGGAACTGTGCGCAATTCCAAACAGAGTCTTATTGGGAGTAAATGACTGTTGTGACAAATGAAAGTGCTCATGACTCCATTCGGCCCATTTTCACACAAGGCAATTTCAGGCTCCTCTTGGGTTGAGAAGAACTATGGTATTCAGGCTCCACTTGGGTTGAGAAGAACTATGGTACCATATACAACAATCTATACGAGAAAGCAAATAGATGTCCTAACTTATTACAGCAACCACAAACTCCATACAAATCTACTTACCACATCACTTAATCTAGCACTTTTACATTCTTAAATGGCTGGCAGCTCTATTGCAGCCACTTCTCATATATGAAAAGGCATAAATCCATCTAAAACTACCACAGAATAATGCAGAATCAACATTCTGCCAGTTAGAACCCTAACAATAACAGTACCTAGTATCCTAATTTTGAAATAGAAGAATGTTTTTGTTGCTACATCTCGCTATTCCAGTATGGTTCCAGTATGGCAGTTAGTTACATGCATTGAATTTAATGACTCTCAATAAAGATAGTTTCAGAACAATATCATGTTTCAATAAGTATACCTATGACTAAAGCGTAATTAGATAAGATATCGGATGCAGAATGCACTACAGCCAGTATTATGCCTAAGTTTAAATGGCATACATTCTCATATAATTGGCATCATTTGTCAGTATAAGCCAGCTGTCAGAAATTGCAATGTTCAATTTAAAGCTTTCCTAGCAGATCACGACAAAACGATTCCATGTGACGTTAAGATAGCGTTTGGTTTGGTGGCAGGTAACGCAAACAGTAATGGAAATAGCTGATGGGGGACCGGCGGGGGGGATCATTGATTCCTTAATCTGTTTGGTTGCATGTGGTAACGGTGTTGAGCCAGAGATTCGGCGGCGCTAGCGAAAGTCTCGGGGCGAGTTTTGTGGGCTAAATGTAATCCGTAACCGAACGAGGCCTTAATCTGTTTGGTTGCATGTGGTAACGGTGTTGAGCCAGAGATCGGAGGCGCTCGAAGTCTTGGAGCGAGGACGCGGCGGCGACGTAATCGGATAAGGCTCGGGGACGGGCGGTATCAGCAATGACTGAAGCGTTATCTGATTCCGATTCCCTCAGTAATCAGATTGCGTTACATTTCCCTGAACCAAACGCCTTGTAAATGTTAATAGGTTTAAATTTGAAACTAGCTTTCGCGCCAAAGGATACATGCAGAGAAAATCTGAAGTGCATGGCCAATGCAGTGAGAAAATTCTACACAATGAGCTACATATTATACCTTAAGTTTGATGCGCACATAGTCGCATACATGCATTGGACCATTGGTGCACCGCACACAGTGACACAGGTCTGCACTGTGCAACAAGCTGCATGTGATGCAACATGGATATCTATATCTATCTACACAAATAATACATATACGCAAATAAGCTGTCATGCCTTCGCTCATTCACTGCTGCTTGCTTCACCACGTCATCTTTAGAACTGCTGTGCCCTGCTATTCCTACTTCCTATTCGTCTGAAAACAAACAAGTCCCTGAGTTATGAGGGGGGAACAGTTGCGAAAATCCTAACTCCACCGATACACTCTCAACAACACGGAAGATCAGAAAACCCAATCGCCTCAATGGCCTATTCGCATCTCCAGAATCTAGTAACCCAGATCAGCAGCCGAGCGCCATTTGATGTCAGATCGAAACGCGAATCGAAGCCTAGCAGCAGCAGGAGAGTAACCTGGGCGGGGCATAGATATACCCTGGATGGCGGTGTCCCCACGTCTGGGCCTGGGCGACGGGCGGGAGGGGATCGCGGTGGATGGACGGGGGGGGGGGTGGGCGGGGGGGAGACGGTGGCGGCTGGGGAAGGCGACGACGCGGGCGCGGCGACGGAGACGGAGACGGCGAGGCGGGAGGCCATCGCGGTGGATGGATGGGGAGCGAGTTGCGATTGCGAAAGACGCCGGGTGGGGCGGACAGATAAGTACAGATCGGCCCGGGGCCCCGCGGCGGGGGACGTGTGGCGCCGCCGTGTGCTGCCGATGTGGACGCGCGAGTCGTGACTCGTCCGTCGCCATCGGATCAGATAATCAGAATTCGCACAAAATCTCACGCCATAGTTTTGGTGGGCCGGTGTCGTCCCGAAATCTGAGGTGCACAGAAAGCCCGCTAACGCGAAGAATGAGCCCAGTTATCCCAGCCCACATCGGTGTATATGTAATATCAGCCAGCTGCCGCCTGCCGGCCTCAAATGGCGTGCGTGACCGCGTGGGCTTCCAGGGTTCCGACGCGCGGAACTGGCGGTGGCGGGCGAAGCTAATGGCCATCCATGCCATGCCGCTCAGCCTCCGCCTCCATCTCCATGCGAGGTAGCCAGCCAGGTAGCCAGGCGCGTATAAAGGGCAGCCAGAAATTCCGGATCCACCTGTCTGCGTCTCCGTTTGTTCACGCCACAGGCAAGGCGCAGGGGGCTTGCGGTGAGGGAGAGCGAAGAGAGGAGGACATGGTGCACGGGACGCTGGAGGTGCTGCTCGTTGGGGCCAAGGGCCTCGAGAACACCGATTACCTCTGTACGCATCGGCTAAATCTTCAACATAGTCCTTTTTCTTTCTCTTTATTTGCATGTGATTTGTCGTGGTCTATTGTTTCCATGGGGATCGGAGCTTCTGGACTAGTAACAATTGGTCAATTGCTCAGCTAACCTTGATTGGTCGATGTATTAATCATTAATACTATTATCGCATTGCTAATCTAGATTAATTTAACTAATCATGTTACTTGTCATTCTTCGTCCTTCAGTGGGAAGTGTTAGAAAAAATGATTTTATGAGCGATTTTGTTTGTAGTTCAATGCTTACGTGAATTGTTCGCACTTGTTCTTGTTAGCATAGGAAGCCCTCTGGACATTGTGGATTTCAAATATGCTTGTAGATTTCAGGTTCGTCAATTGTGGATTTGTAAACCCGAAGTTAGCAATAAGTGCTCAATTTTTTTGTTCAGCCAATACTGGTGAGATTCGTTGTGATGAGTATTTCCTTGGAATGAAGCCGCAGGTAACATGGATCCATATGCAATTCTCAAGTGCCGTTCACAGGAGCAGAAGAGCAGTATTGCAACTGGTGGATATCTATTTGATTTGTCCTCACAATAGTTATTTTATCTCTCTGTTCTGAGTATAGTTTTTTTTCCAAACATTTGGATCTTTTGCATTAGGAAAAATGATTTGACCTCAATCTGGATATTAGAATTCAGAAGTCCACTGAAACATTGCATTCTCTCATACAATGTGTTTTGTTGAATACTGTAATTAGGTAGTCCATAGTATGCTTAAAGGATAATACACGTCACGTAAAAAACTGTATTATGATGCAAGTCAAATGATAGTGTAACATAGTTTCAGGAAGTGATTTGCCTTTTAAAAAGGAATTAGTTCATATATATAAGATAACTCATCACTTAGATAAACAATACTGAGAGGGCAGTAGTGCTAACAATTAGCAAGTAATTGTAAGGTAAAAATTACCCTTTTACATTGTGTTAACCTTGTATCCTGGTCATAGTCACATAAAACGGGTCGAAGCCATCGACCCTGGGCCCGGATATGCGGGGTAATTTTCAACTCCACAGTGTAAAATCCTCTTGGAAGTAGGATACCATGTTCCTCGAACCCGTCGGCCTAGGAACTTTGTGACTATGAACCTGGTTTTAATTCCTAATTAACGCAAATGATTCATAATTGTCATGCATATCAGCATATCTTAGTAAAAATAGATAGGGGTTCCATTCTTATTGCAGTGGCCTTATCTGTCTCTAAAATGCAAAAAGGAGCATGCTATCTTTTTGACATTCAAGTACTTATATAAGACCTCTAAGGTACTGCTGATACTAAGTCCCTGTTCTGCAGCACTACTTTAGCAGTATTTTTTAGCGAACGAACAATGTTTTTCTCTCACAACAAATCAACATAAGCATCAGCATAAACTAAATTTCAAGCGAAATGAACAGTGTTTTCCTGTCACAACAAATTATGTTGCTTCAATTCTGCTAGCTACACTAACATGATCATACATGCAGGAAAAGGAAGTAGCCCTGAGTGGAATGAAAACTTTATCTTCACCGTGTCTGACCGGACCACAGACTTGTTGATGAAGCTTATGGACAGTGATACAGGCACAGCAGATGACTTTGTTGGTGAAGCAACGTAAGTACACACTGTAATTCGTGTCTGCAATTCTACTTTCAT